TGTATGCTTGCAGATAAGTGTGTGCTGATTATTTGTAAGAACCTGCTTCTGTAGCTGGCTGAGCTGAGTCGACGTGGACTCCAGGCGTACTCGGATCTGCTGGAGCTCCTCGTGTGCTGCCCCAACCAGGTGGCTGCTCCTGTCTGCTGACTGACGAGCACTCTCCAGCTGATGGAGGGAGATAAAACATGGACTGTAACCAAATTCTACTAGACATTTGTGAACCTGTGAAACCCCAACAACTCGGAATTACACAACCATGTCACGATGTTTTAACTGGATATTTCTGCTGCGCAATTATTCAGTGCAGCTTTCTTTCACCACTGAGGACCAAAACAGAAGACATAAATGCTGCAAAGTAAACCTTTAGTAACATTAACTTGATGGTCTACCTTGGTGTTGTAGGTCTTCTCGATCTCATCCTTGTACATTTTAATCTGCAGCTCATGCTGGTTGCGCATATCCGCCAGTGCCTCGGCCAGTTTGCATTCAAACTCCTGCTGGTGGCCATTATCCAGTTCAACTACGCGGGACTCATGACGCCTCTTTATCTCCCGCAGCTCCTATTGAAAATTTACCAGCAATGATTATCAGTAAAGTCCAGCATGGGTACTTTTTAAAATGATTAACTAATGATGAGAACATATGCAAAAAGCGCTCAGACCTCAGAGTGGAGGTTCTTCTGAAATTCCAGCTCCTCTTTCAGAGTCTGGATGCGATTCTCTCCATCCACCCTCCTCAGCATCTCATCCTGCAGCTGCTTCTTGGCATCGGCCAAGCTGGTATCCAACTAAAAAAGAAGCACAAAATGGGCCGAGTATGAGTACAAAGTAATGCTGCGGAGTGGAAAATAAGCAGTCAGTGGAGTATGCAGGCAGGAAAACATGCAGAGAGGCTGTCCTTCAACCCCTGCTGAAATCTGAATTAGCTGACATTTACTAACAAAACTTGGAAGAAAGAGAGGAGGACTATGAAGGACAAACAGAGAGGTTCTGAGCTTGTAGACTGACTGCAGAAAGATTGAGCCCAGATGTGTTTCTATTGAGTTTTAAATTGAGCGTGGGTTTGACTTTACCTTGGCAACCTGCGCCTTCAGGTCCCTGTTTTCCACCTCGAGGTTACGCTTTTCTCCAAGAGCCGTAGTCAAGGAAGCATCCTTCGAATTAAGCAGAGCCTCCAGGTCTTTGAGCCTCTGCAAGGCTCCCCCCAGTTCTGACTCTTTTTTAGTGTTCCTATGAAAACAAAAATGGGGACTAAGTTCCACTTTAAGTTCTCAAAGTGCAGCTTTTGTTCATTTTTAGTGCAAGCATGAATGAAAGAACGCACTACTTTACATTTTCTATGACAGCTTTGAGTGAGATCAAGGGAGGATTTCTCATTCATGTTTATCTCCATTAGTCACCATAGCAACAATACTTGAACAAAACCTTAAACTACTATACAAATGCCACTGAGACTTTCAATGTGTACATTTTCTCTCGTTTTACTCAAATGACACTCAATTCATTCATGCTTTGAGAATCCATAGTTTAAGAGTTTAAGCATCTTACTGCATTTGTTTTAGTGACCTAAGACCTAAAACTGAATTACTATAGTTTCCTTTACACACTCTAATCAAACAAATATGAGCTATTTTTGAATGAGGATGTCTACAAGAAGCAGAAGCAGGGGAAAGACCTCGGTGCATATGAGTCATAGACCACAGTGATTTTCATCAAGTCCCGTGGATCTGGTAGCCACAAGCCACAGCCGTTGGTTTTTAGCTGAGATATTGCCATGGCAACTGTATGGCTTTGCCAAACACACTGTGGCTGTCGTTTTATTATTTACGGAAAAATAATCCAGGCAAGAGTGGAGCTCTTTAAACACTGCCACGTATTGTGTATAATGATGACTTTGGTGAAGGAGGAGAAGCTGGGGAAAGAGTTAGTCATCAGTCTCTGGATGTGGAAGCATGGGAAAGAGCTGGAGTCCCGCTCCAGCTCTTGCCCAGTGAGCAATGAGGAGAATATGCTACAGCTATAGGGAGTGGTCCCAGCGGCAGGGTAACACAACTCTCAGTGCATCACCAAGTTAAAACATCAGTTATTAAAAGATTATGAGTAACTGCTGCTTAATATGTATCAACACTGAAGTCCAAACCCTTTCACATTTGTATTAAGGGACAAATAGATGCCTTCAATTGAAAGGGTTTGTTTGAAAAGGGGGATTTTAGATGCCTCGCAGCAGCGAGACATCTCATGATCACCAGACACTCTGCAGCAGAGTTCTTTCTGAGAAGAGTTTGGCAATCCTGACTTCAAAAGCTGTACCGTGTAACTTTAGCTGAACAGCAGACACTGTGGGACAGGTGATAATTATGGGATAATAGTAACTGCTAATGTAAATATAACACAAACAGAAATGAGTTATGAAGTCAGCAGAGTGACAAGAAACTCCTAAGACTTGCTGAAATTAGATACTGGAAGCTAAAGGTCAAACCACATTAAATCGTGCCGTGACAGCCCCTGAGTGTAAGGAATGAGTAAGGGTGAATTCTGCAGCTCATGATTTCATCTTGTTGTTACTATTTTGTCTTTTAAAGTTACACACTCCCACTATAGCTATAAAAAACCACCAAAAAAACCCCACCCACATCGATCAAACACACAGGGGTGAGTTTAAGGAATTTGGGGACCCAAGATGAGAGGGCACAAACCCAAAGTAATCAATCTTTTTTCTCAGCAGCTCCTACAGACACGTGCAAACACAGTAAACATTATGCCTGGCTTTCAGCTCCTTGTGGTCCTCTCGCAGCTTGCCCAGCTCCAGCTGCAGCCGTGCTCGCTCTTTGGCCACCGAGTCCAGTGTCTGGCGGGCATCTGCCAGCTCCGTCTCATAGGCGGCCTTCAGACCCGTCAGCTCCCGGCTGACCTCTGTCTCCGACTCGGTGATGCGCAGACGCAGCCCGGCGTTCTCAACCTCCAGAGAGCGGACCTTGTCGATGTAGACGGCCAGTCGATCGTTGAGGTTGCAGAGGTCCTCCTTTTCCTGGAGACGGGTGATCCGGTTGGGAGAAAGTGGTGTGTTTGCACCTCGTGGAGTGTTTTTGGGTGTCGCCATTGTAACTTTCTTATTTTGCTGTCAAAACAGATATGATTATATTCATTTGAGTCTAAAGAGTCAATTTGAGCAGGTTTTATTCAAGTGCAAATGCACACCCTTCAGTTTGATCCGACAGTCGACGTGGAACATGTGTCACAAATAAGATGAAAGAAATATGCCCAAGAAATATTCATTGAAACACACAAAAATGAGGCAACATTTTGGCTCAAAGTTCAAAGTTAAAAAGAAAACAAAGCTTAATTCACTGGAACATATTGATTACTTCCAAAGACATCCGGCTCTTTTTAATCCCCTAACATTAAGCACACAAACGACAAAGCACAATTAATCAAAAGACATGGGTGGGGTTAACAACTCCACCCAAAAATTAAAGTGATGTCCTTGCCCAAAAGATACTAACTTATAAAATTCGATTTACCTTTTTAAAGTTTGTTAGAGGATGAGAAATCTCTGGAGATCTTTGCGGAGTAGATTTCCTTACGTGATCCCAGTGTTCGTCTTGGTTCTCTCTTCAGTCTGCAAACTGAGCTGTCTGCAAACCCATCAGAGTGCCCATGTAGGAAAGAATGAGATGGGAGGAGAGGTTGGCCTCAAGTTTGGCACTTGTTAGGTGGCTGTTCCTCCCTCCCTCTGTCGCTCTCTCTCTCTCTGTCTCACTGTAATGGGTGTACAGTCTGAATAAATGAGTCACTCTCTGCACAAAGCCATGTGATGCCTATAAGGGATAATTTTAAGCAGATCTGTTGGCTGAGACTTGAATTGTAGTTGTTTTGTAAAAGCTCTGAAAAGTTTTAACTCCAGAAGAACCCCACAGAGCTGGAGTCTTCACATCCTGTAAGGATGCATTTACACAACATCTTTTCTTAAGCTCTTACACAAATTTCCTACTTAGCCTTTGGTTTAAATACCTAAATGGCCAGAAATGTATTTCTTTGGACAGCCTTAACTAAGAGATTCCGAGTCATAAAACAAAAACAGTACCAAAAGTGTGCTCTGGTTTTCTTTTGTAGACCTTTAATTATTCTGATTGTAGCCCACTAAACATCACTAAACATCATACATATAATATGTATGAGAAGATACAAGATACAGTGTTACAGATACAGATGATACAGTGTCTTTACATTTCAGTGGCAGGATGAGAGGACTACGCAGTGGTGCAGATGTTAGCACTCACCTCCTGGTCGGCTGGAGTGTTTCTCTGTGGAGTTTTACAGGTTCTCCCTGTGTGCTCCAGTCTCCTCCCACACTCGGAACCACAGACATGCTCCTCTATAGGCGCTTCCATCTCGCCTCTCTTATATCAGCCAGGTCAGTCTGCCTTGCCTGAGACCAAAATTTGACTAGGAAAATGAATGGCTGGATAGCTGGAGTGACTACAAAGACACTGAGGGTGAAGCATTTTACTAAATCTCATAAACTGATGAACAAGCTGATGGAGATTATATACTAACTGGTCGTTTTATTAGGGACACTTGTTTGACTGCTTGTTAATGCAAATTTCTTATCAGCCAATCGCATGATGAAAACTCTGTGCATTTAAGCAATGTGAAACAACTTAGGGAAGTTCAAACTGAGCATCAGAATGGGCAACAAATGTTTCTCTTTTTCTTTGGACGCCCTTATGGTGCAAACCTGGTCTGAGTATTCTAGAAACTACTGATCTATTTGGATTTTACCGCACAACCATCTCTGGGGTTTTTAGAAAACTGAAAATATCCCGTGAGCTGTATTTTTCTCTGGGAGAAAATGTTTTCAGATTGCTGGTGATGGTGTAATTGCGTGGTGGATATTTTCTGGGCATGCTTTGGCCTCTTGGCACCAATTAAGCATTTTTAAATGCACATTTTAAATGTACAATCTTACTATGTTCAGCCTTTTATAACCAGTGTGTATCAATCTTAGGATGACTGCCTCCAGCAGCATAACATAACATAACCTCCACAGTCACCAGATCTTACTCCAGTACAGCACCTTTTGGGATGTGGGAGATGGATGAATGTGCAGCTGACAAATGTGCAGAGACTATGAAGCTATCATGTCAATATGGAGCCACATCTCTGAGGAACGTTTTCAGCACCTTGTTGACTTTATGCCATGAAGACTTAAGGCAGTTCTGGAGGAAAAAGGGGGTCCAACCCAGTACTAACTAGATGTACTTAATAAAGTGGCCGATGAGTGCGTATGTAGGGTTTTTTTTTTTTTCATATGCACTTTTATCCCATATATAACCTGTAACACAAGCTAGAAGTGGTTCATTTTAATAGTGGACTTTAAAGGGTTAAAGCTATGCTTGCAAAAATTCATTTTTCCCTTTGTGCTGACTCTAAAAACTGACATGTAATAAATGGCAGACAGTTTTATTAAACACTACGAATTATGACTTAACTTGGACTTTTGGACACACTGTTAAAGCCTTTATGCAAATAAATTAAACGGCAATGAATATTGTTTCAATCAAAGGATTTATGGATATCTGGTGTAAAATGACCAAGTATTTAAAAAACAAACAAACAAACAAACAAACAAACAAACAAACAAACAGGGGCCTAATGTGTAAAACATGTTCTTAAATAAATGTGATGTGCTTTGTGAGGCCTTACAAGCTTCAGTATGTTCGTGCTTTATTTTATAGACAGCTTCTGAGATTCTGTGTATGATAAAGGTGCATTTATTTGTGAATTAAATAGACTGTAAAAGAAAATCTGCTGATCTCAGTTGCGCAGATCAGCCGTGGAAGACGTCGTGCCTCCTGCCGCTGACACTCAGCATCGCCTCCTACTGTCAGAAATTGATGGGAAGGTTGGCTGTAAAGAAACAAGAACCCGTTTTATTTGTCTTTTTCACTCATTTAGCAGCTCGGCGATGTACAAACTGGGTCTGAATTTCAAGTAAAATGGTCACCATAGCTGCCCGATGTGTTAAAACCATGCGAGTTTCGGCTGTGCCTTGTTATGTAGACAGTTTTTGTCATGTGGTTTGAGAGAAAACCCGTATTGGATCTCTGTGGTCACCTGGGCAAAGGAGACCCGAAAAAAAAATCCCATTGAGGAACTGATTGATTGGGAGAGAAAAACGAGCACAAAAAATGACTCTCAGTGACAATATTTACCGCGCTATTAAATCCAAAGTCAAATAATTCACGAGTAAATCGCTTTTAATAGAGAATTAACCAAACAAATCCCTTGAAAATCCGTCTCTAACCAAACTGTTTGCACACCAGGAGTCACGTGAATACAAGCTCTCCAAATCTTACAAAGACAAAGCGACATTTAGAGCAAAAAAGACGCATTTCCTTCTGTCAAAAAACGAACAAACTAATCCACTCCGTGTCTTCTGGAGCGCATGTCGCAGCCGCTTTGCGCGGACAAACAGCAGCTGTGCGCAAACAGAGGACACGGAGGACATAAAGAAACCAATTTAACAGCAAACCAGCCTCAATCCGTGCATTCAGATCCGAATTTATAACACAATAACGATCATAATCCAGGACTCAGCCTCCCTCCACCGCCTCGGCACCGCTGCGGAAACACCCGGACTCTTTTTTTCTTTTTTTTTTCTACTTTTCCGCACAGACGCAGACAGCTCCGTCCTGCTCCTCAGCGGCCTCCATTTTAGCTCCTTGCCCGGTCCGCGCCTCACGTGTCCTGGACTGTCTTCCTCACATGACCCGTGTGTTTGTCCCCGTGATCAGCGCTTCCATCTCCGTAATTCGGTGTCGTTGAATATCGGCGTTTTACACCCGCAAAAGCTTCATGGATATGCTGGAGCAAAGTCTGGACAGCTCGGCGAGGTGAGAAGCTGCTGCCCGCTTCCTGCTCAGACATGGCTCCACCACGGCCTATAAACCCCTCTGTTTTCCCCCTGCTCCCTGCAGCGCAGTGCAGTTAATAACCTGCCTTCTCAGTGTACTTTTAATATTTGTTTCGTGTTGTCCCGCACTCTCTGCGCACTTTGCTCAGAGGATTTCTGCACACATTAGCTGTGCGCCCGTTTCCAAATCTGTGCGCTTGTTTTATCCAATGCACAATAAAAATAAGTGCACAGCTGCAGTTTGTGACTGTTTTTAGGCTAACAAGAAAACGCACTTCACTGCTACTGTAACTGATGCAGCATCTCTAAGGTTTAAAACTCTTAAATCCAACCACATTAGGGCGTTGTTTGGAGTATTATGTATATTTGTGAAGTTTGCCTTTCCATGCGCAACTGGTCAGAGCAGTTACACTAGACTTCTAGGTCTTAAATAATTCTCATTTCCCCCTTTTAAGTGCAGATGAACTGATTTTAAGTCTTAGACGCCAGTAATGTTTCATTTTATTTATATCTTAATGATTGTTCCCTTATATAACCACCCGGGGGCGCCGTATTTCCTCAGTTGGTTCAGGAGAGCTGGGTTTTTGTTCAGAAAACGTTAATGATCTTATTTCAGAGAAATACTTGAAATTGACTCAGCTTTGCTCTGTTTTTGTTTTTAGTCACGACAAACAGGAAACAGAGGAGGTGGTGCAGCTACAGGAAGGTAGGAGCATCTGTTCTTGTAATCCACACGACTGAAACAAAACACTTAAAGTGAGACTTTATAGAGTTTTTCCAGGTTCAGAATGCATTTTTTGGACTCTCCACACAAGAAAGATTGAGTTGGATATAGTTAATTCAACAAAACAGTGGATATTTTTTTGTTATTTCTTGGCATTTAGTGACTAAAAATGAATTTTATGGTAGTGAGGACATGAGTACTGTGAGTACACGAAGCTCCACTTGGAAAGTAACATGTCAATAGTTCAGACGAGGCCAAAACCTGTTTGGACAGTGGCAGATTTTTGCCTATGCAGAAAAACAAAACAGGCTTGCTGTTAAGCCAAAAGGCGTGCACCTGCGTTACACGGCCCTGCGCTTGTTTAGTGTTCGAGGTCTGAAACGTGGTGGTGTGTGTGTTGCAGGGGAAGCTGTGGGGACGGACGAGCAGACTGCAGTGACCATCACCGGTGTCCCTCAGACTGCATTTGCTGACCACAATGTGCAGTACCAATTTCGTACAGACAACAGCGGCGGACAGGTGAGCTGCAGGCAGCATTTCCTCTGTTGCTGATTTGCCATTCAGATATTTTCTAGTTGGAATGCAACAATAGAGCTTCAGATACTGGTAACCACGGTAACTGATAGCAACAGTTGTGCCCTGGTTAAATGTTCAGGATCTGTTGATCAGGAGCTGAAAAACTTTCAAAGGATGTCAGCTCATTTTTATATAAGGAAGAATTATTTGTTTACCTCAACCAAAGGAGAAAAATGTAAAAAAAAACTCTTTGGCGTCAGCTATCAGACAAATTGTTATTTTAAACATGAAAAATCTGTAAATCAGCCCAGAATTTCACAGTGGGAGTATAACAGTCTTATACAAGGGAGACGGACACAACAGCAAGACACAGAGCCATATTTCTAAAGGTAGCAGTCCATCAGCAGCAGGAGCATCTGTCTACTGTTGGTGAAAAATTTACTCCTGTTCTGAGCTGTGACAACAGATTTTAGTATCCTGGGATCAGGCGTCATAGTTTTACACAAAGGATGTGAGGATATCTTTACAACAAAGCCAGACAGACCTTAGTAATAAATATGTGGAGAGTGGGCAGTTGTGATATAGTTGCTCTGTCAGTGATTTTTTTTCTTCAGTTGACATTATTTTCTTTCTATCCCAGTTATGTTTCTTTAAAAGCGAGGCTGTAGCCACAGATTCAACTTTGGCAGCGATCGAATCGAAATCCGGGCGTCACGCCGCCTGAGGTCATTGAACGTGGGTGTCACTGTTGGTCTGTGGGGTGAAAGTGTAACTGATTTGATTGATAAGCACATGCAAAATGAGCAACGACTGTTGTTTTCACTCCTGACGGTCACTGACACCTTTGAACAAAATCTATTTTTTAAAATTTTGACCCAAATATTTGAAAGTGAACTTGAGAAGTTTCAGAACCAAAAAAAACTCACGAAATATGGTAACAAAGAGTTTCTGATCAGAGAGTTTATGAGAGGCTGTGAACAGTGATGGTGGCTGTCCCAGCAGCGCTGTGATTGGATCTCTGCTGTCATCTTCAGAATACATATTGTGATATGATAAGATGAACAATAAGATGAAACCTCTGCGTGACGGCTACTCAATGAATGTGCATCACCAGGCTTGTGTGAGGTCGACTCGTACCAAAAACAAAATTCAAACACCCCCATATTGGTCACTGACTTCATGCCCTCCTCTGTCTGCAGGTGACCTATCGCGTGGTTCAGGTGACAGATGACCAACTAGAAGCGGCAGCTGACGGGACGGGAGCCGTCAGCGTCGTCTCCACTGCAGCATTTGCTGGAGCCCCTCAGGCAGTAGCGCAGGTCAGTTAACCCTGCAAGATGATCAGGATGCACGAAAGGCTCTAGAAATAAAAACAGACTGCAGTCAAGACGCAGCAGCCATCAGTCTGTACAGGAAGCCACAGATACACCCGCTTCCTTATCTGACTAATCTATCAGCTCGTGGCTGACAGGAAGGCTGAGGGGCATGCAAATAGGGGATTGGATCACCATGACGTCAACCTCTTCTACGTGAAATTTCACACGGGCTGTAATTATTTAGAGAAGTGTATATGGTTCGGTCTGGAAACGTTTGGGTAGTGACCCTATTTTAAGATTTATTTTTGGCTTTTACCATGAACACCTGTGACATTTTAAAAACACAGTCTGTGAAAAAGTGCATGACAAGGACGTGACCGGATGACACAGAGTCAGTCTGTATATCAAACATGGGTTAAGGAGTTAAGGAGCTCTTATTCTGAAAACTGTATTTCAGCATTTTGGTTTTCCAGTGGCAAAAGTAATCGAATTTGTATTTGAGATGATTCCAGCTGTATAAACTTTCTCTCTCCGACTTTGCAGGCCGTCATCCAGAATCCTTTCAGCAACGGGGGAAGTCCTGGCGGGGAGACGGTGGGAGGAGAGACGCGTTTCGCTTATTTCCCTGCAGCCACAGTCAGCGATGGAACAGCCACGGCCGTGTCGGTGCAGGCCACCGCCGACCCAACAATTACACAAGCGGGAGGTGAGAAGCACTTCTTTAACCGTCAAATAAAACAGGCTCATGTTGTCGATCTAACGCCTCGTGGTGTTTCGTCAAATCCAGGTCAGTTTTACGTGATGATGAGCCCACCTGAGGTGCTGCAGACGGCGACCCAACGTACCATAGCGCCACGCACACACACCTACACTGCGTGAGTACAACTTAAAGCTTCGCCGCACATTGATGCTACTTCCCAAAAAATCTCAGAATGACCAAATCACCATAATCCCTCTGCACATCTGTTTGGCCGACATCTCACCTTTTTCCTCCCAATCTGCACTGGACTGGGTGTACTCTGCCTCTTGCTTTCCTTCTTGGCGTGATCCGTCTTGTCATTGTGTGTAAAACAATAAATATATACTAAAAAAAAAAGAAAAACCATCATTGAAATCATTTAAAACATCCAACATACTATGTCCTACTTACCTGCCATCCCCAGAGACCTTGGTGAAAGCGAGATGTTGCAGCATGGCAGTTCAGACTGGTGAGAAGAACTTTCACTTACGCCCCCCCACCCTGCCCCCATCATGTGTCGTAGAATCAGACGTTTGGTGGCTGCTTAAGATACGAGGATTAAACTGGATTTTGGTCTGCCTGTGGCTTTGGTTAATAGCTGCAGGTTTAGTTCAGGCATCAGTGTTTCCCACAGATTTAAATTTCAGACCCAGTTTTCCACCTCTTTGCAGTTTCAGTCTGTGATGGTGAGGTTGGACTACATTGAGCCACTGAAGGACATCTTCATCTGAATGACTAATGAGCAGCACACGCCTGCGAGCCACCTACTAGCCACTGCTAACGCAGGACTAGTGGTGTAGCGGTGATGAGACTTTCAAAATAAAAGTGAGGAGGATAAGATTAACTGCAAAAAATGCTAAAATGAAAGGCTAAATATAATAAGGGCCCATTACTATACTCGGGCAGCCCTTCCAGGTAATAAGTGTGTGGGAACCACTGAGCTTTGGTGTTTAGTTTGTCACTGATTCTCCTTCAGAGAGGGCAACAGCAAACCGTACTCATGTTTTTGGGGTTTTTTTGAGGGGGGGGTTAGAGCCTGAATCCTTCAAAGGGTTGAGCTCAAAGAGCGTGCCCTTCAGAGGACTTAAAGGACCTGGGTCTGTTCTTCGGAGGTGAAAGTCTAAGTTAACACAGACTCTAGCAGTTGGTATATTTGTGGGGTTCTTTGCAGCTCATTAAACCTAACTAAAGATAATTTTCTACTAAAACCAGATGGGTTTTGGTTAACATGCTTTCCTTTATATCAATACGTTTTGTTGTTAACAGACTTTTGGGTCACAGTTTTGGCACATCAGCATTCAGTGTGGTGTCTTAGCATTTTTTTTTTTTATGTTAATTTACAATTGTTGTGTTTTTTCTTTGTGCCTTTACAGGAAAGTAGATGGTCCACGGGCGCCCAGGGATGAGAGGCGAAGAGCACAGCACAATGAAGGTGCGTGATCGCCAAGGTTACGGATATTTCAGGGCTGTCACATCTATCACTCCTTTTTAACTTCAAGTTCCTAAGGAAAGACCAGATTTAATTTGAATAGTGAAGGAAGGATCTGAACTTAAATGAAAGTTTGAAAGCGATTTTATTTTAATTGCTCTTTAATCACAGACATGAATGGCAGTAACATGTCAAAGTGCAGCATTTTTTTTTCCAGCTCGTGTGTATCTCCACAGGTTAGCCACAACATTAAATGAATCTTATGTGGGCTCCTGTGTAGAGCCTCTGTGTTCTGGGAATACACTCTTTGGGTTCTTCTGGTGTCCCTCGTGTGGTTTCTGAGCAGTTTTTGTTGCATGGGATGGTGTAATGTCGTGCTGTGGGAGTCTGCTGCTGTTCACACACAGAAACTACCAAACACAAAGGTCACTGAGAGTCGGAAGCAGGCGAAGCTTCTTCTTCTATTTCTTTTCTTTTTTTTTTTTATTGACGGTTGGCAAACGAATTGGTGCATTACCGCCACCAACTGGTATGGAGTCTGGACCAGAATGTCACTTAAGGATTAGAGCAGGCACAGCTGGCGAGGGAGCTGCGCTTTTGTAACGATCACTGGCGAGTGATTGGCCTCATGTGCTCAGATCAGCCAATAGACATGTACCGATTAACTTTGAATGGGCCAATAGGCGGAGGCTTTATACCTGGAAAAAGAAGAGCAACAGAAGAAGAACAGAAACCGTTTCACTTATCGTGCATGTAACAAGAAGGGTAGCACATATCGAAGTAAGATCTGCGTGGCAGGAGCTGAGGTTTCCCAGCAGATGTTCAGTGTTGTTGACGTCACCAGTCGGTGGTTTTAATGTTGGGGCTGATCGGTGTGTGAAACCACAGCTTGCGAGAGCTAAAACTGAGCATCCTTTTTATTTTCTTTACAGTGGAGAGAAGAAGAAGAGACAAGATTAATAACTGGATTGTCACGCTGTCAAAAATCATTCCTGACTGCAGCATCGACAGCAGAACCGGAGCGGTGAGCGTTGTATAAAAAACCCTCTGAAGTTCACTGAAAACTCGTGTATATTTTGCATGACCGTGTAAGTGCTGACAGATGGTTACAGAAGCTCCTGCTAGTTAGATTAGCTCAGTATGTAACGTGACTTCATTTAGTCTGAAAGCAGCTGTTTCATGTCACTGATCTTTTTAAATTTGCCTCTGTCAGGCCTTCATTCACTTCCTGTTCACCCTGTTCTTTGACTTCATTCATGCCTTCACCAGGCTTTACTACAGCCAGGGGCGTGTGACAGTGTTTACTTTATTTATTTTATTTTTAGCTCAGCGGGTAACAAAGTGTTTATATGGAAGCAATGACAAAGTGTGTCAGCCGCTGGAGAAAAGTCGGCTCACAGTGGGAATGAAAGACTAGAAAGAAAAATATTATATTATTTGTTTGTTCCTCAGAGTAAAGGAGGCATCCTGTCCAAAGCGTGCGACTACATCCGCGAGTTGCGTCAGAATAACCAGCGGCTGCAGGACAGTTACAAAGAGGTGGAGCGAGTCGAGATGGACAACGAGCTGCTTAGACAACAGGTTAACTTCCCATCATTGTGCACACATCTCATATTTTGATTTGCTACCCTTTGCAAACATAGGTGGAGGGGGCCTTGGGTCCTCACAGACAAAGCGGTGCAGTGCCAAGAGTAGAGAAAAACGTTGAACTCGAGTGTCTCGATCAGTCTGAACGTTGTGAGCGCACTGTAACATGACAGAAAATAAACGCTGCAGAGGACTGCACCAATAAGCTGAATTAAATTCTGCTCAATATGAGTTTTATCTGTTATTTCTGACTAATAGTGGAGGTAGAGTACTGAGGTTCCACTTTCTTTGCCTCAACACCAAAGCGGGGGCAACAGAAAATCGGTGGTTTAATCCTGGTTCCTCCGGCCTGCATGTTGGACAAGATACAGAACACGGATTTGTTTCCAGTTCATGCATTCGATTGTGACCATTAGGTTAAAATTGGGCATAGAAAATAACACTTACATGAATGTGAGAGGAAAAAAAAGCACCGCCGCTCTCCTGTTTGCACCTAAAACACCATAAACGTGGCATGAATCAAGAGAGTTAGGGGCATTTTAATAAAAAAGTCTTTGAAGGATCAAGGATGAATGAAATTAAATACTCTGTCTTACGTTTTCAGATTGAGGAATTAAAGAATGACAACGCACTGCTTCGAGCACAGCTGCAGCAGCACGGTATAGAAGTCAACGGAGATGCAACACCTCAGTGACTGTGGACTGGACAAGTGCAGGATCACAAACACAGAGTCGCGTCCTCCCACACAGCTGAACGACACCAGGAGAGGAGCAAAAAAAAAAGAAAAGAAGAAATAACGGGAGACAATTTCTGTCTGAAATTGGACCAGAGAAACACGCAAAAGGCTCACGAAGAACACCGAAGGACTGCAAAGTGAACACGTCTCCTCCTCCTGCAGCTCCATGAAAAGCTTGAACGCTCTGAAATCCGTTAACTGAGTAGCTAACTGAACCTCTCACTTCTGCTTCAAGGAAATCGACCTCTGCACTCCACCGCCACGCTGCCGCCAAACTCTTCTTTTTACTTTAAATTATGAACCTGCCACACAAAGTTTATTTTTAGCGTCTTTACGTTTTTATCATCACACAAACTTTTTCCTTTGGGTTTGTTTGTTTTTCTTTTTTGGACATGCTTTGTTTGAAGCTACTAAATGGTCCCATTTTGTTTTAATTTATTAGTCTTTAAACAATGTGTACACAGAAGTTTAAAAAAAATAGAAGCTGAAATCATCTCCAGAAATGAACAAATAATGAGCAAATCGGTTGTTTTGATCCTGCTCAGCGCTGTTACTAAGAATACTTTTACTGTCAGTGGATTTTTTGTTTATTTTAATTTCTTCCTCTCGACACTGGTACTCCACACACCAGACGGAGCTCACACGCATCGTCCATTGTCAGTGAATTCAAAACTATAATTTCCGTAGAGTCAAAGTGGGAGTGGCTTTGACATCACGGGCATGGAGGTTTTTCTTTTTAGTGTAAGGCCTTAATAGATGCCTACTGGAGAATATAGGTGTTAACATAGCTCAGGTAATTGGGATTATGCACTGGCAAGCGGTTCCCACGTTCAATGACGTCCTTATATAAAGAATTTAGAGCTCATATGTGTCCCCCGTTAGGTGCAATGTACAGATAAAGTAACACTGAGATGATTTTCAAGGGGAATCGTCTCTGTCGGGCATTAAACCATGGTTTGGTTGTGTATCTGCTTAATAGGTCACTGGAATACAGGTGTGAGGTCCTGGTTGGAGACCGGCCTCGGTTTTGGCCCACCGGTCCTGCTGCGTTTTGGTGACTTTTTATTTTCCCTATATTACTATTTACACCTTGGGAACCATTGCTGCTGATTCATGACCATAAAACAGCCATGGTCAGGGAGGGGATACGAGTTATGATGATGATGATGATGATGATGATGATGATGATGATGATGATTATACCTAACTAGATATTTTTTTTTTGTCTACACTGAAAGTCACCACAGCATGGAAATATAACCACTGGCATGACTAATTCTGATACTACAATAAATGAGTGTTTATACCCGAGTGGTGTTTATTATCGAGGTTACGAGGAAAAGCGTTTTGGGGCTGGAATGAAACTTCTGGTACAATATTTTGGTTGTTTTTTTGTTTTGTTTTTTTGTTAGATTTTAACTACAATATAATAGATCACAACAGAAATCGGTGCTTGTCAAAATAGTCCAGCTTTAATAATAAACAGAATAAATAAAAAAGATGTGTGTGTATATATATTTATACACATGTAGATACTTACACGTGCATATATGTATAGATACACAGATGCTTTCCCTCCCCAAAAATATGTAAATAAATTTTTTTGAATTGTTTTCTTTAATATATTTCCAACCTTCAAAGTGTTATATGACCCTATTTTTTTTTCCAGTTTTGCTACGCTATGATCTCAAATTGGTCACATTATTCAGATAATTTGATTATTTTTATTCATATTACATCATAACTTTAATATTTAGCTTTACTATTTTAGCTTTTTATCCTTCATAGTTATGCGACAGGAAGGGTGTGTAAAGGTGTCAGTTTGGTGCTACTACCACAGTAGTACATTTGAAATAAATTATGCGGATTTATCCGATTGTGTTTAGATAAGTACTGAGCCTTTTCTCTTTCCCGAAGCAGAATAAGTCTATCCGGTTGTTCAGTCTGACGTCACTAGCCGTGTCTGGGTCTAAACTCCGCTGCAGGTCCATATATCAAACGATCACTGTGGCATTACTGAGAGTTGAAAAACTGTCTAAAGTCTTTCATCTTTAATAAAATGATCAGCGTTCTGCTCTACCAGGTGTAACAATTGAATTTAACATCCAGGCATCCATGAAAACGGAATTTATGACATTTAACGGAGTTAGAAGTTAGCAGGAAGTTAGCTCGCTAGCTTCTATCTAAATACAATATAGCATGTCCTGACTGCGGGGTTTTGGAAACAAATTAAAACGTACAGCTTTCTTATCACTTCCAGCATAAATGAAGACAGAAAACTAAACAGCAGTGACGTTTGTAGGGTTACTGAAGTTGGGCTAGCTGGTATATAATGATGTGCTACGTGACCGCTAGCGACACAGCTATGTTAGCATAATATAAACAAGCTAACTTTTTTTTCCCACTCATAAAAGTTAACGTGAGTTTTCTCGGTGGTCAGAAACAAATGTAATCGCATGGCAGGATGCTGTAAAAGGACCAAACTTCAGCCAGGAGAACAACTGAGATAATCCATCCACAATACGAGGTTAGTCATTCATATACTGCTGCATGGGCTGGGCTGTAGTTACATCCTAAGATTTTAAAAACTGAGCTTAAATAAATGATTAGTGGTAATAAAAGCCGAGGGAGGTCAGCAGGGATCACTGACTGTTTTAGGAGCTTTTTGAGATCAAATAGAAGAAAATACATAACATTAAACATGTTAACAACACAAAAGCCATATTAAACGCAGACTACTTTAGACCCGGAAGTAGGATTCGTCGCGTCATCACTGAACAAACTTAAGTCTGCTTCTACAAGTCTAAAAGGAATTTTCCCCGGCTGTCATTTTAAGTTGCTCGTGTTCCCTGATGATTATTTCCTGGTAATCTGACTCAAAACTAAACGTAATGAAGGTATTTTAATTATTAAAGCCTTTTAGGCGCAAGTTGTGTGTACTTGTTGCCTAGAGACGGTCGCCACGGATAACAAACCCCGGGAAAACCAGCTCAGCTCAGAAGGTTCCAGAATTCCGGTGAGTAAGATCGAAGTGACGAAACATTTCAGCTAAATTTAAACATTACAATATTTTTCAGATTTAGATCTAGAAAACATAAAAGGGGGCATCCAGATTCAGAGGGGGAAAACAATAAATATTCAAATGAGCTGGTCAATGTTGGTATTTTCGAACATTGAAGTACATTTAATCAAGGGCAGCACTTCGTTCCACATTTTGGCTATTTTAGCCTACTTGACTGTTTTTATCTTGTTGCATTTTCTGATTCCGCTCTATTGCGTTTAATGCTGTACTCGTTCATTAATAACTCGTACAGTGCTCAAGAAACTACCTGGTACCAGACCCACCTGGCCTTTTTGACGGCCACGTCTGGCTCATATACCTGAAACATAAAATCAGTTAATTACAGATAAATCGGGGAGACAGCTGGTAGAAAATTTTGGTGCATTTTTGATCCTTTATTCATGCACGTACATAATAAAAAGTCAAATATGATCTTCCTTTGAACTTGTTTCTACTTTTTGCTAAAATGTTATTTGGAAAAAGAATTGCAAAGGTAGTTTGTACTTTGATTTATTTATATTTTTTGCATGTTTTCCCGCTTTAAATAATAATAATAATTTATTTCCTTATATTTTTAATCTAACCTTTATTTATACAGGTAGTCCCACTGAGACTCAATGTCTCATTTACAAGAGAGACCTGTTTGAGAATAACAATAAAATTACAACCATAAAAGAAATAATTGTACGTGGTGGTGTAGCCTTTTAGACTCCAATAATGACTTAATTCCTAATATTTCACAAAGGTGTGTCATCTTGTTCTTTCGGCTGCTCCCTTTAGCAGTAGATCATCTGTGTCCATCTCATCAACTCCCTAATATCCTCCTCTGTCACACCAACCCTCTGCATGTCCTCCTTTACTCCACCCATGAATCTTCTCTGTTGTCTTCCTCTTTTCTTCCCGCCTGGCCTGATTTCTTTTGATTGCACAATCCAAATTATTTATAATAATTAAATTAAAAAGGTCCTTGATATTCTTACATGTTTTTGCAGTTGCTAAGAGGTGATGTAACTTTGAAAGGAGTATTTACACAGTGTAGTATCTGTTTATTTTCGTGCTTTTATCACTGATGTTTTATTAATGTTTCTGTTTCTGGCAGCCCGTTAAATCTCAAATCTGCATTTAGTGTTATTAAATACACAGGGATGGTTTGTTTGTAAGTATGGTTTATTAACACAAAGCACACTCATTCAAATATATATTGTAATAACATCTATCACTTTACTTTGTCAGCATTTCATAATGATATTATAACTAACGCTCCAGATGGCGCACTTATATAATTAATACACTATTGGGTTTGTTGTGTGCAGTTTTGATAGAGTCATAAAATCTAAAGTAGCTGATTAACTGCAATATAGTCACTGACACAAAACAGAGTAACAAACAATGCAATATTTACCTTGGATCAAAGCAAATTACTATTGTGATATTTAATAAAATGGAAACATTCAAAATAAAGAGCAAAATTTTGATGAGTTTTTATGATCGTTCAGATTTTTCAGGGGATATAATGCCATTATTTTGTAATAATATCAGTTTGTAATTGCTACTCATAACTGCACTTTTTTCTGGTAGTACCTTTGCACTGGTAATATATGTGTTGGTGTTTGATCTTCACAGAGACATAGAAAAAGATCCCCCACATTTAGCTGTACGTGAAAGATCCAGTGAATCTGGGCCTTGTTTCAGCAGAAATATGATGCCTTCACTAAATGCAAAGCCTGGCCTGCACCGCAGTGTGTCAGAGTGGACCAGCAACAATCAGCAGCTGTCTGCCACAGCTCAACACGAACGACACATTTCGAATGTCATCAGACAGGAAGGGAGGACACTACGCAACGAGACTAACTTTAAGGTGGGGTCTTGTTTTGTTGGCAGAGCTCAAAGGACATGGTCCACTGGACCATCCAACAATGTCCTTTCTTTCTCCACACGTTGTTAATAAAGCACCTTTTCTCCATAGACACGCTGGGATGAGACTGATACGTGTCGTAGGCTGAGTGACCGTGTTTGGGATGTTGCTCGGTGGAAGGAAGTGTTGGAAACTTGTGCTCAGAAAGTGGATGAAGAGATGGAGACTCTGACACTGGTGATTTATTCAGACTTTTTAAAAGCAGAGGTTGAATCTGTAGACTGTATAAGAAACACGGAAATACGGTAGCTGATATACTTCTTTGTCTAAAAAGTAAAGCCAACATTTCAGTGCCTTAAACCTGTTTTCTTTCTAATGACCAGCAGGTGGTGACACCATCTGGATGTGAGAAAATCTCCTGACTCTTTATTTGGTTTAATAACTCAGCAAACATGT